AGAAACGCAGCGAATACACTTTTAAAATCGCTAGTAATAACAGCACAGGTAGGCTTATAATACAGGTAAATCTGACTTGATAATGATATTATTACTATAAGGAACAAACTAAAATTAAAGCTCGCTCATAATTGGAATACAATAAGCTTTATACTAGTACATAACTGTAGAAGGCATGATTTTTAATTTTAACATCTTAACTCCGCCAAATTAAAATATACGAGTAATTAACTACAATATACATTACAATAAAAATAGTTTTTGACAATGGAAAATTTTGCAAAGTGCCAGACAAGCTAACAAAAAATAAAAAAGAATTGATTGAAAAGCCCATTTTAAAAGACACTCATACAAATCCATTAATTTTAGTCGTTGCTAATATATAGAATAGCAACGATTTTTTAAAATACTAAACTATCTAACCAATCAACTTACCTTCTCAATACTGAGAAAAGAAGTTAATAATTAAAGATGCGCCATGTTGTACTCGCCATTCTGCGACGTAGTTTGCCGAATTATAATATAGTAGTAGATAAGATACACAAATTAAAGGCATATTTATAATTCCTGTTAATATATCCAGAGAATCGTCGAAGCTCTTATATCTGGAGAGTGTTCATATACAATGACCGCCCACGGTTCACTATTTCGGTTGAAACTACAGAGACCGTGATGCAAGCTTGCAAGGCCAGATATTAGTTGGTGCAGCGACGATATAGCGTTATAATGAAGTCGAAACTGACAACAGCGATGTTTTAAACGAGTTAAATATGACGACAGTTAATTTTAAATTGATTCTACTACTATATATAAAACAAGAAGTTTTGGCATACACATGGCAGGTTTATGAGTAGTAATTTCTTTTAGATCTACAAAGTAAATAATTTGTAATTATAAATTGAAGATTAATTTAAATATTCTTTCACTAAGAGAATGCTGTGTAATCACTGGCTGTAATCTGTAAACTGTAATATATATTTTTATCATAAGTTCCAACTGGATCAGCCGCTGTAGAGCGTTGCCAAGTATTTTAGTGAATGATGAAAGCAAACCGACTAAGTAATTAAATAAAAAATGGATATAACTTATCACGTCTGTATTTGTTTTTATAATGCTTCGTGTCTTTTGGATTGTAAAGTCCTCCCGGCCATTGATTTCGTTACGGTCTTCGGTGTGGAATAGGAGATTTCTTGTGGTAGGTCCATCGTTACCCGGACTAAGTCGGAGCGTGTCTTTGGTTATTAATAATTCCTTCGGTAATGCCAAATTTACAGCGGTCAGGTAAATCACACGTTGGACATGTAAAAAAGTATTCTTTGGCATTGCCATGAACAAGAACGAAACACCAAATCCAATGAACACGATTTATATTTAACCCAAATTACGTTACTCACCAATAGTGGAACACAAAAATGCACATTTAAATATATAATTAGCACCATTTGACATGTTTGTGGCTTAGTTACAGATTCGGCTATTTATACACGAAAATTATATCTTTCGGCGCCCGCTCGACGAATTGAATTGTTGATAACTCGAGTTTAAAACGTCAAAGCGCAGTTACAGCTAAAAATAGAAATGTTATATTTTAGATTGGACATTATACTAATTAAAACATATTGCTATTTTAGAAGATAAGAATGCATGTATTTTTTTTATAGAATGTTTTATTGGTTTGGATAATTTATTACTTTAAACGATAGTATTTTGATTAATGAAATAAAATCTATCGATGTATACTAAAATTGATAAACGAAAAACTATTTTGTATAAAATATATGTGTATATAAATCTATTGACATTCAAAACTAATTAAATTTCCATCTTATTTGGCAAATTGGGATTAACATTTTGTTTATTGATTAAATGAAACTTTAAACGGTTTCAGAGTTGCTAATATGTAGATTATTATATTAGCTAATATGTATATTTTCTTTCATGACGTTTACAGGTTCCGTGTTCACATAAGACCAAGATGTCAATTGTCTTTTTAATTAAGAGTATAGCTAACTTCAAAACAGTACAAGCTATAGTCTTAATTGATAAAGATAATCGACATCTTAGTCTGTAAAGGATCCAAAACGTCATAAAAGAAATTACAAAGTTTAAAAGTGGTTTCATTCAATGGATTATGCGCATGGAAATATAAGAAATCGGTAGTTTATTCGTTGTCCGTATCGAAATATATACCATACATTTGTTATATCGCTTTAATCAAATGCTGGTTGTTCAATAATTTCACTCCTATTGTATGAATTGATACGAATTGACATTTTAAATTATTGATTCGTCGTCATTTATAATATTCTTACTCAATAATTGGATGTTCAAGTTCATTGTTCGATGACACAATGTTTTTTTAAATTGTCTACTTCGATGACATATTTATGACGGCGTTAGTCGTCAACGCTCATCAACATTATGAGTCTGTCAACGCCTAAAAGGTTCTGTAGAGTTTGTTATATATAAATTGAAATGTAAAAATTTGATTATGTTGAGATTCAATTAGGTAAAGTTTATGTAATGATCGTTTTGGTGTAAGTTTCACAAGCGTAATAAAAAATCTGACTTGCTAGTTTCAAAAGCGAAAATAATCACATACTGTGGCATTTGAAATAAAATTGGCAAGCAAGCACTTGCTAACTTGACTTGCCAACAGGTGGTCACTTGATAAGGCTACAAACATACCACCTGAGCGAATTACGTGCAAAAATCTAACAAAGTTGTTCTATATATTGTTGACTAATATTGTTAAATCGTTATACGCTGATAAGTCGAAAATCACGACATTCCCACAAATGAGTCTCATTATTTACCGAGAAAATTAATGATAATATTTTATAGTAATGATTAGTTAAGGATATCTTATAATATTATTACAAAAGGCCTTTAGTACATAAAAAGTATATACCAGTCCAATTTATAAAAAAAAAGTTTATCGTTTCTCTTTTGACTATTTCCAAATGGTAGTTTTTTAAATTTTCATACGTTTTTTATATATTTGTTAATTCATAACTAAGACTTCTGTAAATGCTCTATTAAGCTGAATTAATTTTATACCCAGTTCATTGGATATCATAATAATGATATTAACACTTGTAACTCTCAAAATCATCAAAATGTAAGACCAATATAATATACCAATATAGACCAATAAAATACCAGTTATATTGAGTTACCTTGACCTTGTTACACGTCCCGTATCACCAATATATGAGTACGGATAACTCAAAAGCGGCGAGCGATAAATATGACTCAGTGTAGATTTTTATTAATCTATACTCAAAGGTGACTGACTGACATAGTGATCTATCAACGCACAGTCCAAACCACTGGACGGATCGGGCTGAAATTTGGCATGCAGGTAGATGTTATGACGTAGGCATCTACTAAGAAAGGATTTTGAGCAATTCTACCCCCAAAGGGGTTAAAATAAGGGATGAAAGTTTGTATGAAACTTTGTCAATTTTAAACCGATAGGGCTGAGACTTTGCATGCATAAAGCTACTATGACTTAAGCATCCTCTAAGAAAGGACTTTGATCAATTCTACCCAGAAAGAGTTAAAATATGGGATGAAACTTTTTTACTGGACTAAACGCTTATATGAGACCAAATCTGTAAGTTTAAAATAAGCTGAGGTTTTTTTTAATTAAATCGTGCCTCTTTTGAAGTTGCTTAAACAGAGTTCATAGAACTTTATATGGATTTGCTGAAAAGAGCTAACGTTTATTCTTGATTAATATTGATATAAGATATAGTTAAGTTCAAAATGGAAATGCAAACCAATGGCAAACCTGATCTGCTGATTTATGTGCATAAATGAGTAATATTGAGAAATGTTCAATTTCGTTTATTAGATACCGCTCCTTCTTCTTTTAGATACCGCTCCTCGAATGTCATGATTTCAGTTTTAAAGAAGCTAAACATACTAAGCTAATCTTTTGATCAAATTAGCGATATTGCGCTTGCAACTTGCGACCTAGCCGTTCGACAGAATCACGCAGACTTCACTTCCGAATATGACTAAGTGGCACAAATGCGTGACTTACAATGTGTAATATATACAGAACACTTTCCTCACCATGTTTAGGAAGCAGGGTTCGCACAAATCCGATATCTATAATAAAAATCAAAGTATTCGATATTTATCCGATATATATCATGCATACGAAAAGCTGCTAAATATTTGATCTTTTAAAAATTCAAAATGTTTAGTACGTGAGTTAACTACTTCGGGCTAATGTTGGCAGCGTTACATCGGGTTGGTTTATTTTCTAGCTAATACTCAATACTCAAACTAACAATAAATATTATGAATATCAATCGATATATATCATTATTTATATCAAGATAACCGTTGATATTTATCAGCCAAACCTTTAGAAAGTATAACAACTAATTAAGTGGCACCTACAACTCAGTATGTGGTAACGGAGACCAGCTTTTATGGGCGCCTCATTGTCTTGTAATTTACAGTCTTCTATTAAATAATAAAATGTTTGACTACCGATTCAAATGTCGTATAAACCTAGACGAAGATCGGAACAATGTGGTCATTCCTACGACGTGCTTTTTTAAGGAACGTCTGTTTAGTAATACGGTCGTATAGCAATTTGTGCTCCCTGCTGTGCCTTCAAAGTTCTCACTCTCTTTATAGATTAGAGCATGAGTTTCAAAAATGTGCAGTTCGAGTCAGTGATCTAAGCTTTTGATTAATATCACTGAAGAGATCTGATGTCTTGTGTTCTAATAAAAACAATCACACAGAACCGACATATTACGTAACTCCAGAACAGGTATATATAGGGAATTGTGATGTGCATAATAATACGATAAGAAGAAAATAATAATACATAATCTAATCGAGTTGACAGTGACCTTCACTTGTATGCAAAAAGTACATCAATTATGAGATGCGATAACAGTACACAATTTTATTAACCACAAATATTAAAGTTAATAAAATAAATATATACGTGTGGCAAAAAAATTACAACAATGTTTGAATTCTTCTTCAAAGAAGAAGAAGAAGAAGAAGAAGCAGTACTCAAAGTTAAAGAAAATAGCAAAAACTACGATGACATAAAATTTTGTGATGTAATAGGAACGCTTGTTAGAGAAGAAACTACAAAAATTGGGTGTGACAAATGTTACCACCGAAATCTAGTATATACTCATGCTCTAATAGCTTTTAAGTATCAAAATGGTGTGACCAATCTTTGAATCATATAAGATTTAATATTATTATTATGAATATATAGCCACTGGTTAATTTAATAAACCTTTTAAAAGAACCGACATTTCTTAAACTATTGATAGAAGTAGACAACGAAGAATATTAACTTAAATTAAATCCACCTTCTCAAACGAACTAGGTGAATATGATTCATTTAACTGCATTAGTATAAACTATTGTTTATTTGGTCAAAACTGATTAAATAGAATGACATTTGATTGTACATCTTGGTAAACATCTGGAATAGCAGGAAGAGGTGGGCGCACCACAGCGTGTGCAAACGTGGGAGTCGATTTAAGAATGTGAACTGAATACGACATGGTTATCTACTTAATTTGAGTAACCTTAACCTTTAATTACATTGAATTAATTTAATATAACAATTGGAAAAAACTGGCAAAAATATAAAAAAAAAGTAATGAACATTAAGGAAGTAAAAAATGTATTTACCCCACAAGCCTACTTTTTTGCCAAATCGAGTCGAATATTAATATATACAATACTATTTATAACATTAAATAAATAAATATTGTCACATACATTGCACAGATTCCAAGATGCAGCATGTATTATGGAGTATTTGAGACACTGAAGTTACCAACAATATCCAGACCTCAGACGATTCCTAATATAGAAAATAGTCCATTTACTATATTGACTTGGCCAGTTCTACTAAATAAATTTTGTTTAAATCGAATCGAAAACGGATCGAAACCGAACGAAACTACAGTTTTTCATGGTTTTTCTATTCTACTAAATGACATACTAGAAAATTTTATAATTATTTAGTAGAATTGGCCCCCTGACCGTGAATCGAACCCGGAGACCTCGAAGATGGCAACACATTGAAACCGGCGGGCGCACCACTCAATTACTGAGATGGTACTTATAAGGATATAATAAAATATTATTATAATAGCAATATAACGCATATACGATCTTTTTTCGCATCACATGATAACATGTGATATGTCTTTAAACATTTGTATCTTTTCGGCGTGAGGATAATATGGTATAGGTATGAAGAAACCCTATGACACGTATCGAAAAGGATATTTTTCTAATAATAATTTTGTTTGTTTCAGTCTACCAAAGACGAAGGACCAGCAGTCTGCAACAGCTGCAACGCAGTTATAACAGGCAGAGTAAGTAATTTAATGAAATATATCTTAACATTCAAAACTTTGACATTTAATAATAGAAATAAAAATAAAGTGCAATGTCTTTCTATGTAAATGGGACAAACACAATATAGTAAAAAGTTAAATATTTCTGTTTTAATTCCAAAATGAGTCAAAAACGACATAAAATGCGACCAAATTTTAAAAGGACATTGTACCTGACCTCTATCGTGTACTTAATACATTATCTATGGTCAAAAACCGGGTCAACGAGCTAGTACAACAAATTGCAAAGCAAACAAACATTGATAACAACGATGATGCGTCATCGACATATTTAGCGATATCTACAACCGTATCGTTTATCTTTGATATAAGCTTTATTGCTTACAAAATAACAAGCACCTTTGTTGAAAGATCATCGAGTGCCGAGTGCACAACTAATCTAATCTATTTTTCATAATTACTAATAATATCAAATCCACTTTTTAGTGTCCAGTGGATTCACTGTTGGCAGCTTCAATAATACTTTTTAGTTATTAACTGAAGCAGGAAAACTAGAAAACAATCATGGATTTATTTTTTTCAATTGGAGGATCTTAATGGTCTTTTTTCTCAATATATTGAGATATATGAATAAAAGAGAATCAAATAAATAAATGAAATAAAAGTATAATATGTAAATATTGTTCAGTATAGTATCAACACTTTTTCAGAAGCACCCAGTTTTTTTAAGTATGATGACATGCTGGGTTTTCCATTAGATTTGACGGAAAATCCACGGTTCTCATATTAAAGACTGAACTAGAACATAATAATTAACGAAGACCTACAATTTAACTAATTAAGGAAGACAATGACCTGAATGATTTTGAAGAATAATTTTGTCAAGTTAATACATCTGTTAAGCAAATTTTAATGACTGCTAAATTAATTAACTATTCCAACCGGACGTCGTCACTGCTGAGTATATGTCTTTAAGACCTATGCTGAGAACTGGTCACCTCTATCTATTGGATCGATCTGGTTTGGGGTCTACATAACCAGTGCGTCTTATGTCCGTTCCGGTAGGACAAGAAGCACATTTAAATATATACAATCTTAACTATCCATAAGGAAGGCCTGAACCCCTGCAGTGGGGTCATAAAAGGGCTGATGATGATGACGATGTACAATAATTTGTAAGGGTATTTTAAAAGCTGTTGTCAAAAAATATAACATTGACGCAAAATATGCATACAGAAGAAAAAGTATGTACAAACATAAAAACCAGAGTGCTTTCTAAATGGTTTAATTAATTAAATCCATTTCTTAGTAAGATAGCGATCTCGTGCCAAATGGAATTCTCCTTGACCATGCACTGTTCAGCAAACAAGGCACACATTGAGTGAATTGCCATTTAGGAAAAAATGGTTTGACCTAATTTCAACAGGCTAAAGTGAATTCTTTTTAATATCCAATTCTTCAGTATGACTGACAGCATTCTCGTGCCAAATGGTATCCTCGTTTCCCTGACCTTGCGATGCTTGGTAAACAAGACTCGCATTGAGTATACTATCACGTGCCATGATGCCATTCTCGGTACTTCATCGACCGTGGATAAAAGTTGTATCTAATTTTTAATTATTTCATCCTCAATGTGACAGTTTGAAGCAGCATCATGTACGCCTTGACCTTATATGCTGCAGTAAACATAAGAATCGTTTTAATACGTCTCCTGATGGTGCTATTTTTAATGATTCTTTGGCTTAGCACAAAGTTGTGTAAAGGAGCTTGTCATGAATATTTTTTACTTTCCTGAATGTTGGGACATTCTTTCAAAAGCAATTTATTATTAACAATTTAAATAATACTCATGTATTTCGAAAATTTCCATGATAAAGTTTGGATAAGAAATGTTTATCGTATGTAATATCAAAACTGATAATGCAGCTGCAAAATACATTTTACAAAGGATTTCGATTAAATCAAAGAAATTAATAAAAAAGTAAAATTAGCTTTTAGCCACGAGGGAAAAGTAATCTTCTAACAAGATCACAAAGATTGGTATCACACTTAAACATAATAAGTGAACCATACAGAATTCTCTGTGGGGCGTCGCATAGCGATGAACATTGCAAACACGCAAAGGCTATACACAAATGGGCATTTGGACACATGTCACAACGAGAGGACGAACAAAACTTTTATGTCCTAGTCAGCGTCGTCGTAAGGTTGAACAGCAGACCAAATACGGATCATACACTATATATTTCTTATTCCATTTAGAGTTTAGTTTTTCGCACAAGATTCCTAATAATATGAAAACTTAAGCAGAAAGTATAGTGGATATTTTTTTATAAAACAATAGAAATAATTGAAACCGATAAGAAAACCAAAAACGCTTACGTGACTAAATTGTCTATATCTAGAGTATGTAGGAATGATGGAATTGTTTTGCACCGTTTTGTCACAGTGGATGATACTTCTACGTAGTTATTTATAGATGGCCAGAGTTGATGTGTCAACAAGAACAGTTTGCCCTACATTCAACATTTTATGTGTCATTCCGCCACTTAATTATGTCTTTAATGTGTCTTCAACCTCACCGATTTAAAGGTTCTCTTTTAGGTCTCACCATTGGTATATTAGAAATTGATTCTGTTAATGTTAATATTATTCTGTTTAAAAGCTTGGTAAACTCTATTCATAATGCTACCCGGCAAGATCACTACAATTTGGATCTCTTTTAAATTTACTAGCATAGGGTTGACGACTATTTTTTGTTTGTCTGCCCGTCTGATAAATATTAAGAAATTAATAAATAATGTTAAACACTTATTTCTTTTCTTTGCGGAAAAAATCCTATTAATATTATAAAGGCGAAAGTTTGTAAGTATGGATGTATGGATGTTTGTTACTCTTTCACGAAAAAACTACTGGACGGATTTGGATAAAACTTTACAGCAATATAGGTTATACATCAGAATAACACATAGGGTACTTTTTACTGGGAAAACTTCTCACTCCCACGGGATACCGACTTCCACGCGGACGAAGTCGCGGGCGTCCACTAGTTAAATAATAAGTGAAGTAAATTTCGGCAATACATTGAGTTGAAATGTCACACGATGTTACCTTTGTCCATTTTCTACATAGTTGTGACGTAGAAAGCCCCCACTTCTCAAAAATGTCTTTTATCTAAGTAATTTCTTGTTAAATTGAAGCATTTAAATAGAATATATATGGGGTAAAAACCTAAGCATCATCCGTAAAATTGTTATATTTTTTTGTGACTGTTATAAGACTTGTAGAGCATTGCATATCTAACTTTAATCGTTTAGTAAGAAATTAAGAAAATAATAGAATTCCGTTAGAATTGCGGTGTATCTATAAATTAATAACAACTTAACTACGTAACTTTTAGCCTCGAAATATCATATAGATGATAGTAATATTTTAATATTAAACTTTTACAGTATGCTAAACTGAATAATTATAAAACAAACAAACAAAACGCGCTACATACAGCGTATGGTAGCTTGTGATTTTGGTGTTAGAAAATGTCAATCTTTAAAATTTCTTTTCACAGATCGTCAAGGCCTTGGACAAGAAGTGGCACCCTGAACATTTCACGTGTCACACATGCCGGAAACCCATAGACGGTGCAAAGTTCCACCAGCACGACGGCGGTGTCCACTGCGTACCCTGCTTCGCTCAACATCACAGCCCTCGCTGCCACGGCTGCGGCGAACCAATCACCGATGTGAGTACATCTAACTCTTCAAAAAGAGACACATATAAACTTTAAGATTATTGTACAACTTTGATAATCAGCACATCATCATGGTCTTCCCACCTTTTCGAGAGCTTGTGAGGCCGTGAAATGCAGACATGGCTTGCATGATGGCTTTGACATAGAAGAAGGATGTGGTAATAGTCGATTCCTCTTCCCATCCTATACGCTGAAAAAATACCTACCTAGACGATCCTTTGGGATTCCTCTTTAGGGCATCTTTGGAGGTATCTTATTTCGCTATCTACGAGAAGAATCGCGTCTCTTTCTCTGACAACATCACAGCCGCAAACCAAAGGGTTATCCCCCCAGACTCATCTTCTCACCTTGGTTTATTTAATTGGGGATCAGCGCAATGCCTCTTTTTCCATTGTTCCCTGTTCACTATCATATAAATTTATTTTGTGTCGCTTTTCACACAGTCCATTATATGCCGTCATGCATAATTAATAAAATAGAATGTTTGCATACAATTTGTTAATTAAAACAATAGTTATGCCTCAGTTCACAAATATAATACCACTAATGACTTTAGCTTGATTAAAGTTGTCATTAGATGACGCAACACTACTCAAGAGTGTGTTTGTCACACGACGAAGTGGACAAGCAATAACGTTTTTTATGCCACCCGGCCTCCTCGCCTACATGAAATTTAGCCATGTGAAGTTTGGATTGACCGACACGACCTACTATCTTAATTATTTCATTTTAGTCACTAAGAATGTAATACATATATATTTTCATAAAGAACATAATAATCATCAAATTCATTTGCAGATTTGATTTTTATTTCTCTATGGTCCTCTATTATACACACAAATCTTTCTCTTAAATTACTTTGTATATTGATAAAAACAGCATTTAAATCAGTTGTATAGTTTCTAACTCAAAGATCTCAACGTACGTCTGTACGTTGAGATCGTCGATCGATCGAACGATCGATCGCTGTCTAGCGGGAAACGACTATTAATATAGGAGGTAAAAGTTTCTATTTTTTTTGTTCATTAGTAATTCACAAGAGTAATCTTCGAAAATACTGATCCGATCATAAAAACTTATTGACGGAATCAGTTTATTAATTTATAAAAAAAGAAAACAGCTCTTAAATAGATTTTTGCGGGAGTAGTAGTTTAATTTTTATTACATTTTAAACGTTTTGCACTCTGCTCGTTCAGTGGTCAACATCATACCAACTTACTATAAAACCTCTCTAATGTATCCGAAATAATAATCTTTTCAGATTCATATATTTTTTAACATCCATATTCACTAATCATTATGATCTCCGCTGAGTCAATTCACTAAGTTATCGGCAATCTAACCATGTGCTTATAAAGAAAACTTATTAAAATCTCCTACGCGAATCGTCGTAAGTTCATTGAATGGCGCACGGCACTATAATCCAACTTTATCAATCAGGGAATACCTTTTAAGGTGATGCTTGTCCAATATTTTTTATTTTGTTATTATTCAAACACACTATAATGATGAAACGTATGAGGATAACAAAATTAGGAAAAACTCTTTGATTGCTAATATATAATGTTACCTGCTCAGTTTTACAATGAATTCACATAAGTATTGGGTAGAAAATCATATCATAATTAACACAAAGATCAATAATATCTTTGTGTAATACTGAAATATAGAAATACTCGTCTCAACGATAAGAAATTGATTTTAAATGTGCCAATTAGCGATCGGGAACGTTTTCTATCCTTGTAGTTCCCGGTTCATGATTTTTGAATTGTCACTTTTCGGTCCATTATTGATAATATCTCATTATAATTTGAAAATTTTGTTATTAAACAAGGGTATATAGGAGTAATAGAAAATCAGCTCACCCGCTTTAAATTTATAGATGAAGATATCGTCATTGTCATTACTATTCGATCAGAAAACGTTTGTATACAAACCCTTGTCAGAATATCAATCAATTGTAATATTTACATTGTTTAATGCAGCTTATAAAAGGTTAACAAAACGAATAACCGCTGCCCGCTGAGACGTTAAATAATCATCCTTGTACGAGAGACCTTGAACTTGCTGTATCATAAATGAAAAAAATCTATTAACTGAGGACGAATGAATCACTTTACGTATAAGGAAATGCCTTCTTCGAATCATACCTATACATTAAGAGTAATGAATATTAATTGATTTTTATATTTTAACACTTACGGGTCATCAACGACAATATACTTCACTCTCGGTATCCACTCCTCTTTTTCACACTCATTCACTCTACAATTATTTCGACTAAGAAACTGCCTCTCTGATTCCACCAGATCATCAAATAAATTGATTTAAAAAAGTCCGCTCAAAAGTTCAATAATAAATATGCTTGAAAGGGATCTATAAAAACCGGTCAAAGGTTAAAGTTTTTCCTGTATAGTTAGTTAGGTGTATACATATTACTGTACTAAGACTATTGATAGATTTTAAATACATATATTGATAATAATTCCAAAATAAAAAGTCGTGGGTTTCGATATTTTTTATATGTTATGTATGACATAATGAAACAAAATACAAAAGAAAATATTAAAAGTATACAATAATTTTAAAAAGGTTTTATTGTCGTTGTCGTCGGCAACATATATTTTGATCAACGTAAATGGAATAAGAGAGAAAGAAAGAAAAAATAGATCAAAATTATTTTATGTTATTTTTACGTGCAAATAAATTTAAACATCCTGCAAAGAACATATTTATAAGTAAGTGCTATTATAAAGTTGATGATTATTTTAAGAACTGAAATACATTATATGTTATAGATGTAATAAGCACACAAATAGCGCCAACCCTAATGAGCCAACGATCAACTACAATTTACATGTGCATTACACTATAATCACGTAATGAATCGAAGTAGTAAGTGTAACTCGTACTATGTAAACAAACGTAATTATACCGACATGGCTTACGGGAAAAGTATCCATGGATTTATCAAGAAGTTGTTACATTTCTATGAAATTTAAGTAAAATTTATGAAAATAATATTAAATATTTTGGACTTGTAAACGCTAATTACTTGAATTGGATAATAGAAACATTTGAAAAGTCCCATGACCAATTAATATTCTACGCAGATAAAGAAAAAAACTAAAATTAACAAATGGCGGTTATTTTTATACTCCACGCCGAACTCGTAGAAGCCTTAGTAGAAAAAAAATAATATGAAAAATTATGCTCGATTCCAATTTAATTGGAAGACTATACATTTTCGTGCAAATGTGCTGACCCGAAATAAAGTATTATCGCAAAAATATTAATACGAAATCTTTTATTTGTTTGTTAGCTACGTGTGATTGAAAAGAGTAATAAAAATGTAGGTGGTTTTACGTATATTACCTTTTATATAAAATCAGGCTGGCAACTCGTGGATCCCCATTAGTGGTGTTTACTGGTATCAAATATTTGACTTTTTGTGTAAGCTTTTGCTAAATCGACAACAAAGTTACCATACCATGAGTACGAAAATGATTACGATTAGTATCGCCAAACAGATTATAATAGATTTAACCGATCCCAAAACATCACGCGTGATCATAAGCCGACTTTGATTCATAACCACACGGAAGTGTGTCTAATATGTCATAGCCTAGTACACGTTAATAATCATATCCTGACTAATATAAAATTAAACGTTATTGTGGGTGGAAACACATGACACATAACTACTCTCACGGCAAATGAATCGATCGAAAATTAGTAAAAGAATAAATAAGGTTACTATTCATTTAATTTTCCAATCATACTACTTGCACATAATCCAAAGGGAAGATCTGAGAAAAAGATTTGCGAAAAAAGAGTTCCAAAGAATTAGTCAGTCACTATTATGTGTTACTATGTTTACATTTATTGTACGTTGTAATTAGTGTGTGTGTAGTAACGATGTTCACTCACGAGGAAGGTCACTGCATGTTTGTATGCTTCATTGTCAAGTGCAACATGTTCGTGATGTTTGTCTAATTACGACATCACAACATATGGTTTTCACTTAACCATATAGATTAATTAAAGCTCATTAAAAGCTGAGAAAGTAAAAAGAATATCGCAATAAACTCAATCCCAAACTTTAGTGTTCTCTCGGGATCTATTCTGGGTCCAATTCTTTTTATTTTTTATTCAAAATTTTAAAAGAGCCCATTTTGGGATAAAAGCTTATGATGGTACCTGAATTATATATTGTTGAGAAGTGCATTTAAAACCACAATTTAAAAACGGACTGGCTTGAGTGCGAAAATGAAAGCAAACACCTGCCTGCAAAGTAAATACAATTTTAATTGCCAATTTCATTTGAAGTTAAGCAGTATAGCAGGTATTGTATGTTTTCAATAAATTAAATGAATATAATATCCAAAAACGTATAGTAAAAAATTACACCACAGGTTCGTAAATCTAGGACGAGAATTGTAACGAGAAGACTGTGTATCCAATTCAGCATTGTACTTTATAATTGTTTTATCTGAATCTAAAAAGTGCAATTGGCAAAATGACCCTAACTATATTAACTATTTATATTATAATATTTAAAACGCTAAAGAAAATATATTCAATAATTCGTTGAAACACATATTTAATAATCAATTTTGCATTCATACTGCTATATTGGAAAATCCACTTTTTTAAGCATTTTTCTAAGAACACATAGGTATTTAATAACTTTAACTTAACAGAGTCTAATAACGTAAGGTTCATCATCAAACTAATGTCTATAAAACACAATACTTCAATGAAACGCTTATAAATAATAGTATAAAAAAACACAAACATTCCACAAATGGTAGCGGGCATGGCTCAACGGGCACCATTGTTTCTTGCGATGACATCATTGACTGTGATTGTAGCGTTTGGAGAATAACATCTTCCATCGGCGTTTATCCTGTGGGCACACGTCCGTCGGTAGAAGGTCGACACTTTGAATCAATTCCATTGACTCATTTTATTATTTTTCTTTCTGTCTTTTTTTCTTTATCAAGAGTTTTAAAATATCTCTTGCCTTTCAAAAGTAAGTAAATTAAAACATCTATTACTTTAAATTTAGATCGTACACAAGTCACGATATTGTCGTCATGGATATTTATTGGATAAGAAATATAAAAAAAAATAACCATTTATATTCCATAGGAAATAAATGGACTTTTGATTATTTTTATTCTTTCCCGATCTCGTAATTACTCAAAAAGCATTTGATATATTGACCCAAAATCAATGAAAATAATATTATAAAGTTATCATGGTAACAGCTAAACCGAAGCGTTACAAAGTTTATAAAATTAATTCGCTCACATGCTCTCGCATGCCGAGATTGGTTAAAGTAATTAAGTTTTAACAAATGAAGACATTGAACTAAAGTATTATGGCGTAGCTGTTATTATCGTTTACGATGTCACCGATGGAGGCAATGACGATGCACTAGACAATGTAGCATTTAATACAAAATAAATATATAATTCTAACGCTGCACCTACTTTATTTAGTAGCCTTGTGTACTTTAAACCTTTTTTTCAAGAAACTTTCTCACCATAGAGATTCATTAGAAAGGAATTTGTATACAACTTGTTTAAACTTTATGCAAAATGACCGAAATATCGGTGGAAATGAAAAAAAAAAAACTATTAAAAATTAATAAATCTTAGTCAACACCACATACATTGCGCAGATTCCTAGATGAGTAGGTAAAGTAACGCTATAAAGAGACAACTCTCTACATTGACCCGACCAAGAATAGAACCCGGGAACTCAGAGATGGCGACCTTAAAACCGGCGTGTGAAACACATGAATAAGTCCAGTCGTCGGTAAAAAAAAACATGTATCTAGTCGTCTGTTCTCGTTCAACTTTTACCGATATGACGGTAGTTAAATTTTAATTGTTCAGTGGATATTTTATTTTATCCAAAACTCTGTGTGGTCACTATAAATATAAATCAAGGAAGTCTTGTAATTGCCTACAGTCAGTAGGTATAGGTTGAATCACACTATTATTACAAAATAACACTGAAAAGGTTATAGTTGAGAGTAAAACGAATTATACTCCAATTCATATGAATACATTAACAGTACCTACTTAATTATAAACGCTTTTAACATATTAACTTTATAGTTACATTTAAATGTCACTAAACCTTTTTAAGCTTTTGAGACAATATGGACGATGGAGTTCATCGATAAATTCACAGTAATAATTTGTTGTCTATGAACATTTTTTCAAGCCATATCTCTCTTTTGTCTACTGAAGAGGCCCTCCATATTAAAACGCATCAACTAAAAATAAATTAATAACAGTTAAATTGACTACTGACATATAGGTCATGATCCAAATTGATATAAATTATTATTTTATTTACCTACCAATCGAAGTTTATTTGAATCATCTCGAACTGTATATCGAATTGCTACAACTAAAAAAAAAATTAATAGGTGATAGGAAGACATGAACAATTTAAAAGCTATCTATTTGAGTAAAACAAAATTTTGAATTCGAATTTGCTTTTTATAATAGGCAAAGAAACAAATGTCACTGAGAGACTAAATTTTTCTTTGTCTTATATTTCAGAGGGTGATCCAAGCTTTGGGCGTGTCGTGGCACGCGAACCACTTCGTATGCGGCGGATGCAGGAAAGAATTAGGCGGTGGCGGCTTCATGGAACAGGTCCGATTTTATATTAAATTAACCTATGATAATAGTACCGACCGGGCCGTATTTAACGAGCATCTACATGCCTACAGCGTAACAACACTGGTTTTTATTTAATTGAATATGATTCAATTCAAATGCAGTCACAGTTGAATTCTATATTGTTAGATACACTGTATTGAACGTACGTAATGTTCAATACATCAGGTTGACATAAATGCGCTCAACGTTCAATACAGTATTGTAGTTAAGTGATTGAGTTAGTTACGCAGTAGGTCTGGAGCGGGATATTTGCTGGTCCATCTTTCCGTCCATTTCGATATCCGATGAGGTATTGAATGAGACATTGGATATTGTATATCTTTATATCATCATCATACAAAAAATATGCCTTGACACTTTAAGCTAAATAATTTTTTTTGAACTGAACAGCATTCAATATCTTAGCATATTTCTGTTCAATGGAAAAATGAAGTAGTAGAATATGCTACTATGCGCTCAACTTGTTATTATTAATATGACGCTTTTATTAAATAAATGTATTTTAATATGTTTCAGGCTGGACGGCCGTTCTGTTCGGCGTGCTACGCGGACAAGTTCGCTGCGCGTTGCAACGGCTGTGCCAAGCCCATCGTGGACAAGGCCATCATCGCCCTCGACGCCAAATGGCATCGCGAGTGTTTCACTTGCAAAGTGAGTTTATTTTGCAATCTGTTTAAACGTAGAGGGAATCTGTTCTGACCCGATACGTATTGAATGTGCAACTGTACCCAACAATACATTATTGAACGATCAGTGAATTTTGATTGAATCTAATGTTAACCAAGTAGATGCCAATTTAGGATTTAAGATTTTAATTTAATGCTTCATGATTGTTCCATTTCATGTATTTTTTGTATTATATTATTGCTTCTGTAATCTTAGTTGTTTACAGACTCGAAATCGCAGTTTGACAGGCTTAAAACTAAACCTAATATAGTGTTCGCTTACAGAATTTTCACCATTGTTTTCTGAAATCTCTTAATTAACACCCGAAATTGATAGTGCACAATTAATGGAATAAATATACACAAAATTTATCAAAAATGTAATATATGCCTCGTACTTTTTTTCCAGAAATGCTGCAATCCTGTGACAGACTCGACCTTCTCGGTGCTGGATAACAAACCCCTTTGCGGAAAGTGCGCTTAAACAATTTCAAGCGACTCATAATTTATTATTTACCCGTAAACATAAGATTAAAAGTGCACTTACAAACTAGACACATCGGCAGGTCCTCTAAATAATGAAATAATTAATGCATTTCAAGAGTTTGCAAAATATATCTTAAGTACAACTTTTTTATTTAAGAATATAGTGCACATTTTGGCCAAGTGGATTTAGAAGAAATGTCTAAGGCATTTACACTTCCTTTATTAGAAATAAGTTCAAAGAAACTTAAGCCGTAGCATGCACAAAATATATTTAAAAACGTATACTGATGTTTCTATTTACGTACTATTTATATATTTTTAATATATTGGAAAGCGGAGGCAGTGAGAAATATTGACTTAACAGTATTTTAAGAGATTTTTTCAAAGCGTTAAGTGCAGAAAGACATTTTTGTTGTAAATATTATAATATTTTAAGAGCTTCAATTTGAGCTTACAAATAACTATTTATTCATTACAATTTTCTTTCATCTAAAATTAAATGCTAGATTTATTTTTTGTATGCTTTACTGTACCATTTTTTAAATAAATTATTTTTGTTGTAACTAGGATTATCTGTGATTTGTGTCAACTGCAACCTTCACCAGATCGCGCATTTTTTACCTACAAGGGATCGCATGAACCCTTGTGGCATCATCAAAAATAATCGAGCACTATAATCGGTTCAAGTGTTCCGAAACGTGCTATCGCATAACCGCTATCTCGATCGCTCTAGCAAATGTCAAATAATAGTTTAACCTTGAGTAATTCTTTCAAACTGATCGCGAAACAATATTGACTTCCCCACCGGGTTTTATATATATTAGGCTACCAACTAGTCTATTTATAGATTTTAGGCTACCAACAACCACTTTGTATGGTGTATCATCTTTAGGATTTGTTTTATCGTTACAAGAATAAAAAACTTTACTATTCCACTTACCTTACACCTGTCTCTATCCATCGGTCCGAAGTCATCCTCGGCGGGTCTTGGAGATGGCATAGGAGTTTTAATCTGGGTTCCCACTACAGCTTGTGTTCCTTCACTCCTCTTGTTTTTCGCTACTATTTTAGGAGAATCTTCTGCATGAGATTTGTGTTCAGGCACCGGGTCAATGCTTTTAAGCGGGGATCTGAGGTTCGGGCTCATCGGTTTCCTGGGGCTTAACATTTTGATTTTAGCTTTCTCCGGTGAGATTTTGTGACTTTCTTTGGCACTGCGAGGGGTTTGGTTTCTGCTAATATGCGGAGTGGGAATCTTGCTGATCTTGTCCGATTGACGGGGACTCACTTCTCGACTCATGTAGCTGGACGTGCACTAAATATGGAAATATATATTGAATGTTAAATAAAATTGTAGGATTTAGTGTTACGTCTCATCTGTGTTGCGGTGTGGTTTAGTGATATGGGGTAATTCGGTGGATTTAATTCGTGCTTTTAAAATACAAAAGAAATGCATACGGTCAGTCTGTGGTGCAGGCTATTTGGAATCATGTAAGGCTTTATTTAAGGCATTAAATATATTACCATTTCCATGTCTATATACCTATTTTTGAAATTGGGATATTTGTTAAAAACATTTCCATTTATTTAAACAAAATAAAGATTTTTACACATAGAGGTAGGAAATGTAAAAAATTATGTATTCCAATTCAAAGACTCGTTGTTAATTCGAAGAACTCATATTGTATGAGTATAGGCATTTATAATAAATTACTGAACAATATTAAAAGTATTGATAACGTTATTTAATTCTAATCTGATTTATTTAAATATGTAATGGACAAAAATTATTATTCAATTAATGAATTCTTGTAAGATAAAACTCATTTCTAATTATTGTATGAATTCTTTGCTTATAATATGAACCTATTGTATCTTATGATTTGAAATTCGCTATTTTTAAAGGTAATTTAATATTTTACATTTTTTTTTCTAATAAAATCGGACAATTTATTGAATTTCGACTTTAATATTCACATATTGTCTTGACGATACAATATGCTGGTTTTAAAATTGTACAACTACCTTGTAACCATATTTATTAATATTATATTATTTTTAGCCAGCAGCTTCACCCAAGTAGTTCTTAGGTAACTGTTAAGAGGGTTAAATATTGACCTGTATGTTAATTAAGTCGTAGAATTATCCGTAAACAAATGTCATCGAAATCCGTTCAGTATTTTTTGCGTAAAGAAGTAGCAAACCTAAAAGCTTTCAACCTTTATAATATTGGTATATAACGTACTGGCTCGACCGCCTCCACCATCGTGCGTATGTCGGCGTCCCGCGGCGCGCGCCCCCCGCCCCCCGCGCGGCCCCTGCCCGAGCCCGGGGCGCGCATCAGCGGACGACGATTTCTAATTACGAGTACAACATGAAAAAGTACATGACTACGATTTTGTTCAATATCGACCCTGCACGCGTAGCATGACAAACTCGAGAAATGCTTTGTCTACACTCATTTGTCAGTTTCTCGGGTTGAGAGTGAAGCGCCTATTACACTACCCAATCTATCGGGCACGATCCATCGGGTACACTGTAAATTGGGTAGTCTAATCGCAGTTAGAGAGTTAGGGTCCCGATATCGGGTGAACGTGGGCGCCCGATCGCCCGATGAGAGTTAGGGCCGATTTATCGGGTAATGTGATCGCTGTTAGGGTGTTAGAGCGCTCAGTCGGTTGTTGCGCAGCGTGCGTGTGAGACGTCAGTGAACGACAACGAAATTTGCGAACAGACAAAAATGTCTTCTCAAAGGGAAAAGAAATAATATTAAGTGTAATTTAATATTATTACTTTTTCTTATATATATATATCAATATGATATAATGTTTTAAACATTTCTAGATAGCCTTTGCATGTGTCTGGTACAATTATAAATTTTATATAAATTACAATAATAAAAACTAATGCTATAATAAACTTTATATTATTGTTGTGCCCGATAGGGTCCATAGTGAGACTAACTTAATTATGTAATATTATTTTAAATTACCTATGGAAACAATAAACTTATTGAGTATTTATACTTTGAGTCATGATATGCATTTCCCGTTGTTAAAAATTTTAAGGTTACAGCACAGCTAACCGCTGTTTTGCGCTATATAAGGTATGACTAAGTTTAATATATGATCAAATTGTGCAGAACTCATTCTGTAGTAGTTCAAACTGCATAGTTGGTCTCCTAGAAGTAAATATTTTTCACCCAACATTTTGTTTTATAATTTACGCCCGCAGTTAAAGTATGGGCTATGCCAATTTTTTGGTACTTTGTGAACGAAGGAGCCATCCTTTCAACGCCACGTTTAGATTGGGTAGTGTAATAGGCGCCTGATGATATATATTGTATGGGTGCATCCGAGAAAAGTGACATTTGAGTGTAGACAAAACGTTCTCGCGTTCGTCATGCTACGCGAGCTGCTTGCGATTTAGGATATGTTGCCCTTGGACAATTATAAAGATTTCCGTTTACCTATAATCTAAATAAATATTAAAATATTATATTCAGGCTTAAGCTACTTTTAAGTAAATCTTTAAATATTGGTACGTAATGTTTTAAAGTTAAATTAATAATTTTAGAACCGAAAATCGACACTAACGACGCCATCTTGCGATGAAGGACCAAGAATCTATCACGAAGATAGCAAAACTCATTTGCGGTAGTCATTGTTGCGTATGCTCGGTGATAAGACAACTAATGCAAAATGTTAAAGCTTTACATATATTAATCATATTTGTCAGTGGTTATGTCGGTGTCATCTATATTTTTACACTAGCCATTAAATATCCGCATTGCGTATGTGGAGTCGAGACGTCTCACTCATCTCAGTATGATTTATCATAATCTTATGAATTTAGGGAAATTATTTTCGACCTTGGCGATTTCCTACTGCTCTTAGGCGGTTGGTTGTTCCCAGCGGCTTCAGTCTTACGTCCGTTGCAGCTCACTCCGCCGCGCACTTTCGAAGTACCTCTAAGAAATAAAAGAAGATGAAACAAATTTTAAACGACAACTAGCACGTGGTTCCATGAGAAATATTTATCTGGATATCGATTCATGTCATGACGCGGATATAATTACAATGACAAATCGGATAGTGAACTATGGCTACTTTGATATTTAATTCCCTATACAAACTTCCACTCCCATTTTTATCCCTTTATTTACTATTTTTCGGAATAAAATATAGCCAATGTTCACTACGTATGATGCAGCTTCCCGTGGGTGTATTTTTTTTATAATCGGGCCAATACTTTCGCCTGTTCGGTGCAAACAATCAAATCTTTCCTTTTCTCTCTTTTCTCTGTTTAAAAACAATAATAAAAATCAATTAAAGTAGAAGGCGGGCAGGGGCACTGTTAAACACACATAGGGCACTATTAGATTTACGGTAGCGCTGCAGATACTTTAATAGAGATCAGTGTATAGATGAAATCAACTCGAGTTTATTTACAAAATACAAGAATTACAAAGTTAACTGGATATTAAAACAGATATCGAATATGGCAGTGTTTGGGAATATTATATCTTAAAACGTGTTAAATGGCCTATAAGCGAGATATTTGAATAAATTATTGATAAGTTTGTCTCTTTAAATATGTAATATATGTTGTCATTGCCTTTTTTTGTTATTATAATGGGGGCAAATCAACTTATAATAATTTAATCATTCTATAAACACATCGTCTAAATCCTCTTCTGGAGCGACATAGATTACTGAAAATTCTCTTTCCTCTTATGGTTTAGTATCGTTGATAGAACATTTTAGTAGTGAACATAGGTTAACAATGCGTTTAAGCGTTCATATTATCTTACAGTGCTACTTATAAGGAAGTTTTAGCGTTGGAGTAAACGCTGAGACTGCTCTTCGTATTAGTCAAAATTCATATTATTAAACAGAGACTTAGCAAAGGTTAACTTAGTAGGAGGTTCTACAGGTGTAATATTTGCTCCTAGAAGGTAGTAGATTTGCTTATTATCTATGTAATATGAATATGGACTAATACTTAAATTGCAATTTTAGCGTAAATTACCCTGACGCTAAACCTTGTTTATAAGTAGCACTGTTAGTGTTTTTTGACGAGATCATAATCTACGTATTGGTTCATTAATAAAACTATAAAGGTTATAATAATAACCTCGAAGAGAGTGTTACCTATCGAAGTTACCTATACTTAAAGCATCAAACATACCCAGATTGGTTGTCTCTCGAGCTGGAGGACTTTGGATGCAGGCTTAGTCGAAGTGTGTCCAGCGAATACATTGAGAGACGCGACTCCGTTTCACCTTTATAGTAAAGAAAATATTTGACATTTATTTTCATTAAATATTAAATTAATTTAATCCAAAGCTTTGAAATTCGCAATTGAATTTTGATGTAATATATTTTTAAATTTATAAATCTAAAAGGACAGCGTATAAAACTCTCAAGATTAGGTATATTTTTACCTATAACATGACACGATTATTGTAGAATTCGTAAAGGGACTATCACCTCGCCGAGAATTATTAATTTGCATTTGGATGCTATTTTATGCCAAAGAACTAATCAAAGATTTTTCGACAAATACTCCAAAAAGTGAATGAACAAAATAATATAACTAAATAAAATGATGTGTTAAGGCGACATAAATATTGTTTCATTACCTATTAATGTCCCAAAACTCAACACCCTGTCTTATGGACAGAATCACATAGGAGAAAGGGCCATAGCATACTACGTGGGCTAAGTGGGTTTAGTTGGTAATCATGCAGATGAAGAATGCAGATTGTCCCTATAACGGCCTAATGTCAGGCACCGCACACGAGACTCCGAATTACAGAGGAACTCAAGATAACAAATCTTTGGTCACCAATCCTATGGCCACCCACTGTTAAAGTTGCTTAACTGCCTCAATTGCAGAACAAAGACATTCACTGCTGAGCCATCCAATTTTACATTTTACGAATAATATTGATTATGATAACTTACCTTTTTTCAAGCCACTCTTAGAAGAAGTTCCAGAAGTTCTTTTTTTCTTGCCCGTTGTGCTCGATTTTTTCGAACGCGAAGATTCCTGCAATTATTTATATGTATTGTAATTTAAAGTTGAAGTGTGGATTAGTGAGTACTAACTAATAATCTGTTTCCTTTTGTAAATGTGCATGCAACATGATTACGTGGCGTAGACCAAATTCTTTGATCGATAGATCGATATCCAGATGGACCAATGATACCTATTCGTTGGGTGGTATCTATACTCCATAATAGCTGAACGGCTGCAGCGCGATTAAAGCTTATGTGTATACGTGTAAGTGCACTATCGCATGTAGGGACTACGACTGTTTAAAGCGGCTACAAAAATCTGCTACACTGCTACGGCTACGAATATTTTTACTGATGCAACATCGCTTGCGACTAGTGAAATTCGTTAATTTATTCAGATATTGGCTTATTTATTTTCCGTGATTAGGCTCACGCAAATTATAGCCAATATCACCCGCGTAGCTTCCAGTAGAAGAATTAATTTCGAAGATTAGTAGTTTCGGAACCTTTTAATGCAAAAAAAAGCAACCAAATATTTCCCCCATATAAAGTATAGATACTTGTTCTGTGGTATAAACTACAAATTATAATTATGTAGATACTCGTATATCTTGTTAAGAAGAGAGGTTGGATAGATATTTTTTGTGTAGTTAACCTCACATGCTGGTGACTGTTCATGGCAAACATTCTATTCAAGTGACTACAGTTTTGTCAATTTACATGATATTTTTTATGTCCGTCGTGCATCATTTTTACTAAAATTTTATAAGAAATTGGAAACGAATTAATCATGAATACTTACTGTATTATTTGAGCTGGTCATGAAGGCGGTCGCACGCAACTCGTATTCCGTAATCACCTGTTCCAGTTTTTCACACGTCGCCAGCAAATCCTGGTAGTAAGCGTTATTATTACAAAGAAGCATTTATTAAAACACAAAAAAAAAAACAAAATGAGAAATTTAAACAGACTTTACGAAACTTCTTTTGAAGTCACGCGGAGGTATTGTGAAGATTTTTAATATAAACCGCCCAACTTCAAAAGAAATTTCATAAAATATTTTTAACTGTTTTGAAATCTGTTACTATCTGTCTATAGTTTTAAAAATTAAAAGGAGTGAATTCCTTTTAAGTCTGTCCAATTTTTAAAACTATAGAACACATTTTGATAACTTGTAGTGTAACCTAAGTTGACAGTTATGGAAAGAAAAGTAATCAATACTAATTTTCGTGATGTGCGTGGACAAACATATAGACGTACATATATGTATACGTTTACAGAAAGCGCACGTGCCCGTAAACATAGATCGTTTCATTTCATCGAAATTACTGTGTAAGGTTTTAAACAAGTAATTGACCTACAAGTGTATGTCTGAATGGTCGTCCACTAATTTCTCATAAAAAAAAAACAATTGGGTTGTGATAAACTGTTACCAAAACTACATACCCATCGCACAATCATCATAATCAGTTAAGTAATTTACAAGATATAGATTATTAAGTTTTTGAACCACATAATATTTATTAATATTAGGTCCTTACATATGAAATTGGCGTTTTGTCGTACTGACCACTTTAATCACAAATTTCTCCTCCTTGGTTGGGAATTAGAATTCAAATTTATACAGCCATTTACACATGTATTTGTGTTTCGTTAGGCGGCATTCATTTGTTTTCTTTTCTCCTTCTGTTTGTCCTATTTACGTCACCCAGTATAAAAAATAGAAAACTTGAAATATCGTGTTACTTACGAGTACGAGTTCCACCGTTGTAACAGTGCTGGGGAAACGGCTAGAAGGGTTTATAATGTGTATGGCGGTTTTATTGCAAAAGAAAACACAGTGCGTTTTTGGTTTCAACGTTTTCGTTCTGGAAATTTCGACCTGCAGAACAAGTCCCGTGTACGGCCGGAGACCCAAGTTAATAAATGATGAATTGAAGGCTATTGTGGAAGCGGACCATCGCAAACCAAATCCGAGTTAGCTGCAGGCTGCGGTGTTAGTGATAAATTGTTGTAATCCACTTGAAGCAAATTGGAAACATTAAAAAGCTTGATAGGTGGGTACCTTACGAATTGAGTGAAGCGAACCGGCAAACGCGCTTCTACTGCTGCGTTACATTACTTAACCGGCACAATAATGAAGGGTTTTTAAATCGAATCATTACCTGTGATGAAAAGTGGATTCTCTACGATAATCGAAAATTGACCACAAAAAAGTTACTTGTAAGCGTTTGGTGGACTAATGTCGACGTCACTCATTACAGTTTTCTCAAATCTGGCCAGACGATTACGGCAGGCTGGTCAAGTAAGGGGTTTAGTAAGGGGTTTAGTAAGGGGATCAATGAACTACCTATGGGATGGCAAAAGTGCACAGATAACAATGGTTTATACTTTGATTAAATAAATATATTATATTAAAAAAATTTCGACTTTTTGTTCCTCCCATACCTAACACCAATTTCATATGTCAGGACCTAATATTAATGAAATATAAAAGAGTGAAAATAATTTAAGGAGTTTATCGTTATTTTAGATAGAATTTTACAAAACTCTCTATACTCGGTGGAACAAAACGACTGACACTCCCGAGGTTCCTGGAGAGTACTATTTATCTTTAATATGATGTAAAAAAAAATATATAAGTCTAGGTCAAATAGTTTCGGGGATATTAAATCACAAAGTTTTTGAAAAAGAATGAGTGTTTACAACACTTTTTTTTTTGATGCTGAGAAATGCGTTACGCATACCCGCTTCACCCTGCGCGGGCTCCACGGGTGATGTGGGACTCCTCCTGTGGTCCAACCCCCGAAGGGGCTAGACAAGAAACAGGAGTTTACCCACTAAAACTCAGCGATGTCCCTCTCATGGTAGGCGATGCGCGGGTTCGGCCCGGAGGCCATGCACCGCGCGGTTCGCCCCCATTTCGGCCCGCCCTGAAAAGGGCAGGTCCCGCTCGGGTTGGGGGTACGCCTCAATGTTGGGAGACATTCGAGACGCACCCCCACGACGAGACAGGAGCGTGCAATGCCGACCGGTGCGCGAACCAGCCAGCTGCCCCTGACTAGAGACCGGAGATGCGCAACTGTGCAATCTCCAGTCCCCTACCCATCGTGTTGGGAGGATCCACACAGGCATAGCCCTTATCGTGGATCCCCTCCCCCCGTAGGTGTTTTCAACCCTGAGTCAGCTGTTTTTGGGACGTACTAAGGAAAAGTTTTTAATCGGTCATTGACTTCTTCATTTCTAAAAACGAAATAAACTAGTTTGTGATTTATAAGACTGTTTTCATGCAAATTCTACCAGACAATCAATAAACAAGGCAATCAAAATGCTTAAATCGATTTACAGCCTAACAGCCGGTTTCTGATTTGAAAAAAGTAGAAAATTTCTACTTCTTATTCTCAATAACCTAAGTTTTTTTTAATTTCACAAGTCAAATAGTCCTAGTTTTATCAAACTGCTATCAACTGATCATCAAAAAACTAAAAGCGGAACTGAAAATTAAGTGATGTTAGTTTGAGACGTTCACAAATCTTCCAGCGATTCATCATTAACACAAATGAACTTTGTTTTAAAAACATTGAGGGATTTGTTATTAAAATAGCATTCAAAAAGAACATTAAAAAATGCGTGATATCAAAAGACCAATAAAAAAATGTGAACCGAGTTCGTCCCTTTCATCGTCCCTTTGTTTAACGAAAAAATACTTACGACTAAGCTTCAAAATCACAAACAAATCAAATAATACGACATAAAGTATTTTCGTGTACTTTATTTTTCTTATAGAGTATAGAGTACAATTGTCTGAAGTAACGTACAATAGTTTATTATAAAGTACGGGTGGTAACCCTAGTCTTGAGTGTTAAGTTTAGTTTAGTGAAGATTGTGTTTAGTTTCGTGTGAAATGTGATGTGTTTTGCGCGTGCATGCGCGGCATTGAAAAGAGCGTGCTTAGCTCAGTCTTCAGAGAGGAAATAGACATTTTCAGCATCGACTATCATTAAGATATTGGTAAATAATTAAATTAAATTAATGTATTTCGCAGTTCGTTGTAATCTGCACACAATCGATTTGCGCATGCGCGTTATAGGGCTGTCAACACTTAGAAATTTAAAATTTTTACTCCATTTTTACACCTCCTCTATTTTTAAATATTTGTCAAATAAAATGAACGTTTGCATGTAACCTAACTTGAAACTTTCGGCTATGTCGGTCATTTTGTTCCTCCCAGTATTCTCTCGTATTCTCTCGTAAGTCGCATTGAATGTACATTTAACGGAACTAACATGAGTAACTTCGAAGGAGGGCTAAAACGGTTCCTTTGTTGTACTCACGTCGTCGTAGAGATTGTGGGCGGCCGCGAGCGCGTGCGGCGCGGGCACCGCGCGGCACAGCGCCGACACCGCGTCCGCCACGCGCGCCACGCTGTGCAGCAGCGCCGCGCCCTCGCCCGCGCACGCCGTCTGCTGCACCCAACGGTGGCACACCTGCACGCACGCGCCCCTGTACACTGCCGCCCCGAGTGTGTGTATCGCCCCCCGCCCCCGCCCCCGCCCCCGCCCCCGCCCCCGCCCCCCGCTGTGCAGCAGCGCCGCGCCCTCGCCCGCGCACGCCGTCTGCTGCACCCAACGGTGGCACACCTGCACGCACGCGCCCCTGTACACTGCCGCCCCGAGTGTGTGTATCGCCCCCCGCCCCCGCCCCCGCCCCCGCCCCCGCCCCCGCCCCCCGCTGTGCAGCAGCGCCGCGCCCTCGCCCGCGCACGCCGTCTGCTGCACCCAACGGTGGCACACCTGCACGCACGCGCCCCTGTACACTGCCGCCCCGAGTGTGTGTATCGCCCCCCGCCCCCGCCCCCGCCCCCGCCCCCGCCCCCCGCTGTGCAGCAGCGCCGCGCCCTCGCCCGCGCACGCCGTCTGCTGCACCCAACGGTGGCACACCTGCACGCACGCGCCCCTGTACACTGCCGCCCCGAGTGTGTGTATCGCCCCCCGCCCCCGCCCCCGCCCCCGCCCCCGCCCCCCGCTGTGCAGCAGCGCCGCGCCCTCGCCCGCGCACGCCGTCTGCTGCACCCAACGGTGGCACACCTGCACGCACGCGCCCCTGTACACTGCCGCCCCGAGTGTGTGTATCGCCCCCCCGCCCCCGCCCCCGCCCCCCGCTGTGCAGCAGCGCCGCGCCCTCGCCCGCGCACGCCGTCTGCTGCACCCAACGGTGGCACACCTGCACGCACGCGCCCCTGTACACTGCCGCCCCGAGTGTGTGTATCGCCCCCCGCCCCCGCCCCCGCCCCCGCCCCCGCCCCCCGCTGTGCAGCAGCGCCGCGCCCTCGCCCGCGCACGCCGTCTGCTGCACCCAACGGTGGCACACCTGCACGCACGCGCCCCTGTACACTGCCGCCCCGAGTGTGTGTATCGCCCCCCGCCCCCGCCCCCGCCCCCGCCCCCGCCCCCCGCTGTGCAGCAGCGCCGCGCCCTCGCCCGCGCACGCCGTCTGCTGCACCCAACGGTGGCACACCTGCACGCACGCGCCCCTGTACACTGCCGCCCCGAGTGTGTGTATCGCCCCCCGCCCCCGCCCCCGCCCCCGCCCCCGCCCCCCGCTGTGCAGCAGCGCCGCGCCCTCGCCCGCGCACGCCGTCTGCTGCACCCAACGGTGGCACACCTGCACGCACGCGCCCCTGTACACTGCCGCCCCGAGTGTGTGTATCGCCCCCCCGCCCCCGCCCCCGCCCCCCGCTGTGCAGCAGCGCCGCGCCCTCGCCCGCGCACGCCGTCTGCTGCACCCAACGGTGGCACACCTGCACGCACGCGCCCCTGTACACTGCCGCCCCGAGTGTGTGTATCGCCCCCCGTCCCCGCACCCCGTCATTATTACTCAAATCTTACCCCACGATAGTTGCGATCTAACCAAACAGTTTGTAAACATCATTTTACGAATTTTCTTTTTGTTTTTGGCCGTTATACAAATTTGTTTAAAAAAGTTTAATAAGTCATTTAAATTATAGTAATGTATTGCTTTTATTTTTTCAGTTTTTATACTAGGATCATAATCCATCTCCAAAAGCTTTGTCTATACGTCAGCGACGTATCTTCAATATATTTTTTTAGCTAAAACGAGACATATTTCTGAAGCGTTTTAGTAACTGAGTAAGAACTCATCGTTGTCTTACCTGAAGGGACTGAAGTAGATTCTGGTGCAAGGACACAATCCTGACCATCTGCGATTGAAATTGCGTGTGACGAGCAAACGGCAGCGATACGCTGTTGTGGCGTTTGATGTCGTGAATCTACAACACAATATTTTATGCGTCATATTTTGTATATTTTTTGTAGTCACGTTTTATGATTTTGAAGTTCAAGCCACGGTAAAGTACGTAGTTCCCTTAGTTGATTATTTATTCAGAGAGGATTAGTTAATTTCCATGTGTTTACCAACTTCTTACATGTATATACTACCCCGAAATTTATCGTGTAAATTTACACGATAAAATATTATAATTGTTTTATTGCGAAATCAGCATTATTGAACATTGGCCCCCGATATGTGACTGCTGAGCCGATGCCTCGTGCTTCGCCCTTCGATATCATCATCGTGGCTAGCCTGGTCATTCTCGGTGCCTACTTCGTCCGAACTTAACACAAGTTTTAGATTTAGTACAATACTTTGTAACTTTATCTTAATAAATAATTATAGTTAAATCAGTTATTTTTCGATCCTCTGGCCGCAACCTTCGTAATTTACTTAAAAACATATTGTTGTTTTTGTCGGCGAGCGGCGAAAAACATTTTTTGTCGGTACGGAACCAAATAGTAAAGGAGAAATATTATTGTAAGTTTTAAATCGAATAATTTAAAGATTCAGATAAAGAATATAATTTTCATTAAATAAATATAGATTTAGAAGATCTGGTAATTAGTGTCGCCTTCATAGATGATATAAACTAAAATGTGAAACTACCCACTTTATTGAGTAGCTCGGTGGCGTAGTGGATAAGCGCCGAGGCCCGCCATCGTTGTCGTTAAGCAACTTTCGCAAGGGTCGGCCACGGGATGGGTGACCAAAAAATTATTATCTCGAGCTACTCCGTGCTTCGGAAGGCACGTTAAGCCGTTGGTCCCGGCTGCATTTGCAGTCGTTAATACCCTCCAATCCGCATTGGGCCAGCGTGGAGGGTCATGGCCCATCCTCCTTAACCATCCATAAGGAAGGCCTGAGCCCCTGCAGTGGGGACGTAAAAGGGGTGATGATGATGATGATGACCCACTTTATACAACGTGTCCCAAAATTCAACGATAAGCGGGCGCCAAGAGGTAGACCTGCTCATGTGTACTTATGGAAAAATAAGAAAAAAATTATATCTTATTAATATTTTTATTATAAAATAAAATTCGAAAATTTACACCTTTTATGATATTTTCAACTACCACGACCACAACTTCTCAATTATGTTCAATCTTTTTTTGGTATCGGATACCTAAGTAGTACTTATATTCGCTACTACTGTTAAAAACACCAAAATGCCAGTTTTTACACAAAAAACAATCAAAATGTATTTTTTTCCTTAAATTTTCACAGATTTTTACGTTCCGTAATCTTTGACTCACAGTCATGTAGAAAAAAAGTATGGACACTACTGCGGCAAGTTGTTTTTAAAATTGACGCAGCTCATGAAGATTCCATAATGGTATAATACTTCATGATAACTAGCAACAAACTTAAAATCATACCATTTAGAATCAAGAACCAAAGTTGTGAGTAATAAATTGTACTGTTCCGAAATGTTTTAATATTTAAAAAAAAAAAATATTGAAATAAAACAATAGTGAGTTTTAGTCTCATTCATTTATTAATAATTAACATTACAGTAAATGTTCAAATTGTTTTCCACCGGCATTAATACATGCACGACATCGCCTTAAAAAAGAGCGTTTTATTTTTCGTGCATACCTTTTAGCATTGATATGTGACGCAGCCTGACTAATTTTTTGCCGAAGCTCGTCCAATGTCGTAATGGGTTTTTCATAGATTTTGTCTTTGAGACAACCCTAATAGAAAAAGTCCAGGGGGTTTAGGTCAGGTCATCGGGGTGGCCATAAGATAGGACCAAGTCGCCCAATCCAACGCCCGGAATACTCTTGGTATACAAATGGTGTGCATATTTTTTTACTGTGACTAGTTATCTTAGATTATTATACCATTTTGGAATCTTGATGAGTTCAGTCAATTTTAAAAACAACTTGCCACAGTGGTGTCCATACTTTTTTTTACAAGACCGTAAGTCAAAGATTACGGAACGTAAAAATCTGTGAAAATTTAAGGAAAAAATATATTTTCATTGTTTTTTGTGTAAAAACTGCGGGCATTTTGGTGTTTTTAAGAGTTGTAGCGAATAGTAGTGCAACTTAGGTATCCGATACCAAAAAAAGATTGAACATAATTGAGAAGTTGTGGTCATGGTAGTTGAAAATATCATAAAAGGTGTAAATTTTCGAAGATTTTCGAATTTAATTTTATAATAAAAAAGAATAATAAGATATAATTTTTTTCTTATTTTTCCATAAGTACACATGAGCAGGTCTACCTCTTGGCGCCCGCTTATCGTTGAATTTTGGGACACGTTGTATATACCGTTGCTGAGCGCAATCTATTCTCGTTCTCGTGGATTTGTTGAGATGTACGAGCGTTTGAGTAATCGTTCAGTGGTAAATACTAACATTCTGATTTATTTAAATTACAAGAAATTAATAGTTTTAACGCTATTTAAAAGTATATTATTGTTCTGGGGTTATATTATTGTTTTTTTTTATAGCCAAAAAGCATTAAGTTGATTTCTTGTGATGATATAAAATAGGTGATTAAGTATAGCATAGAAGAGAGTAGTAGGTATTTAATAGAATCAGGCGTTAATTTGCGTCATTTTCGTCCATTGCCGACTATCTATGCTGATAAACTATGATATCAAGCAACTTCGACACCCAGTCTGTATCTGCAACATCTGCTGTGCACATTCCACACACAAATCACATATACAAATGGCATAAATCTCGTGTTTCACGCCTCCACGGAGCATCTTCATGAGTTGTAGCCTGAATTAAAGTTAAGGCAATGTTTGTGGTTCATAATTGTAACGGTTTACTTAACCTCTATTAACGATAGTTATAATTTTAAAATTACTTAAGTCTGAAATATTTGATTCTAATCTAACAACAGAGAAAAAAGAACAATAAACAAAATAATACGTGTATGTACAAAATAAACTTAACTATCTTATAATCAAATAATATCAACTTAAAAACAGAATATAAAAAAATAAATAAAATATTCTAATAAAAATTAATAATAAATAAATACCAAAGCAAAGTCAAGACAAAGCGCTTGTATGTTAAACCTATTGTTCGTGCGCTCGCGCATCGTCGACCGAACCTGCAAGCCGGTTTCTTAACGGCGAGTCACAATTTTTATACTACCGCAGAGTAAAGACGGATTCTCGTCAGTTGAACTATTTTTCTAAGCTGTTTTACTTACTACCGAAATTCAAAACTATAATTTAAATATCAACTTCAAATTAAATACAGTTATTGTGATAATTATTCCCCATATTAAGGGGTGCACCCCTACAGCAAGGCCGATTGGATATAGCTTTGGAGAAGGCCATCTCCTAGTACATCACGCCGTGGACGGACTCCTCCTTTACCAGGGCAGTGGTATTCTCGAATTTTTTATTGCGCATCCGATTGTCGAATAACGAATCCACCCCCATGTTAATTGTAATTATTAATAAATTGTAAAACTGTATAATTTATCTCATTTACTATTTCCATCAAACCGGCACATTGGCGCCTGACTAAAGGTGTGTTCGAGATCGGTTTGCGCAATTAAATTTCCATAAGCATCAAATAGCTTTCTTTGGTGTTGGCCTTAACTTCTAGAATTAAGGTTGATTGTAATAATATTGTTACTTTAAGTTGTGTACTGTAGTGGTTAAAAACCAAATCATTGTATCAATACTCATTTTCATTGATTATTTTCTGCTTATCATGCTTATTTTCATTAAAATTAAGACGCTTTGCTAGAATTGTGCTTAACTAATTTATTTTGCAACACCTACTGTTCAGGCATAGTATTTCTCAATATGTGGGTAAACTACAAATCCACGACCCAACGGCGACGGATGCCGCGGCCAGTAAAAAAAAAAGAGACTCTCGAACGTTCGGTGGCGCGAAACATACATGAGAGTGATAAAATTATTGTTGTTGAAATTAACGGTTTTCGGTGTGATATATCGGATTATTTTTATTATTTTGTGTTTAATTGTGAATAAACATTGCAAAGAACAGTTTTCGCCATACATAAGACGATTGCAGTTTATTTGGAAACCAGTGCACTACTGTGAACTTTGGCCAGTCGATTGGTGATCGACCCATTATCTCCTGAAGCTGTCGGTGTTAAGGTGAGTGGTTTACTTCTTAGTGGGGAATCCTATGTCTGGACAAAATAAATTACCAATAGAAACGATAGGATCGGCGACCAAATAAAATAACTTGTGCTCATGGGCTATTGAAGGTGTTCCCGCGAACATAATTATTTTGGTCCTTCGAGCCGGATTATTGTTTCATATTTTTTGGTATACGGTACGGTAAATATCTCGAAATTTATTTATTAATTTGTATAATCGGTTATAATTTATAAATTTACTTATTTTCACGCGAGTTCCACGATTACAAAATGGCGTCTAAAACTGTAGAAAATAAATTTAAAATACAGTGTGACTGGTTCATAAATACTAATGAAATTGTTATTAATAAAAGTCAAACAACTGCTGTTATTTCGGCTCGGTTACGTAAAATTGAAGAAAGGTATAAGTTGTTAAGCGAGGCATACGAAGCATTGTTGAATACTGTAACGG